ATCATATACTGTAGGTTTCATATACTGTAGGTATCATATACTGTAGGTTTCATATACTGTAGGTTTCATATACTGTAGTTATCATATACTGTAGGTTTCATATACTGTAGTTATCATATACTGTAGGTTTCATATACTGTAGGTTTCATATACTGTAGTTTTCATATACTGTAGGTTTCATATAGTGTAGGTTTCATATAGTGTAGATTTCATATAGTGTAGGTTTCATATACTGTAGTTATCATATACTGTAGGTTTCATATACTGTAGGTATCATATACTGTAGGTTTCGTATGCTGTAGGTTTCATATACTGTACCCTGAGTCTTAGACGACTTCTACGGAAATAAACTTGCCTATGAAGGCAAGGCGTTTTTTTTGAAAGCCCATTATTAGGCTACTGAATGTACTCTTCTAAATACTCTAAAGTCTTTATTTTGAGGTACTAAGTCATTAAATTTAAACACAGACTCGTAATATTGAGAGATGAATTATTTTGTGATAGAAATTCATTATTTATAGATATGAAGTTATAGTTTAGAGATACTATCTTTCTTTTGAGATGCTAAGTCGTTATTTTGAGATAAGAAGACGTTATTTTAAGGAATTAAGTCATTACTTTGAGATTCTGAGTCACTTTCAGATACTAACTCATTATTTCGAGATGCTAAGTCTTTATTTTTAAATACCAACCAAACAATCAAGAAAATAATCTCCACATTAATCTGTACTGAACAGAATCTTTAGATTATAATTAAGATTAGATTAAGTACGTCCGTCCTTTCTGCTGTATTTTACACAGAAATAAAAGGATAACATTTAGAGACACTTGAACTTAACATGATGAGGGGACACATTGTCAGCCTTAAATGTTTATTTCTTTATATCTGTATATTTATTATTATCAGGCCGTATTATTAAAGCCTGTTAAAAGGACATGAAATGATTTTGAAGTTGCAGCACAGAACAGAAGGCAGGACCTTTTCAGTGACACACACCTGCCTGATTGTTCCTCTGTGTGTTATCTGAATGATGGACGGAGTCTCACTGAGCCTCTGAAGGAGCCGAGGTGACTCTGAGCAGCAGCAGGTGAAGGTGATGAGTCCAGTGGTGACTGTGACGCTCAGCGTTCAGCTCAGCGTTCAGCTCAGCGTTCAGCTCACGTTTCATCAGCTGAAAGCTCTCTGCAGGATTATTCATCAAATCACCTCTGAAAGCTTTTCTGCCTCACTGCTTACCGTCACATCACCTGCAGGAACACCTGAACCTGACGACCTCTGACCTCCTCGGGGTCGTCTGCAGTCTCTAACATTAACATTAGAAGTTTACTGTGTGTTGTTGTGGTGTCAGTCTGTCTCAGGAGCTCAGCAGTCCTGATCAGAGCGCAGAGCTGAAGCTGCAGAGCAGAGCCATTGACTGGAAGATCCCCCGCTTCACTGGAGGAACACAACTGTCTGCTCTGTTCAAGGTACACACACACACACACACACACACACACACACACACACATCACAACATGTTTAGCCACATTAGCATCATGGCTCTGTGGATGCTAACAGCAGTGTGTTCAGACTGAAACGTCTCAGCATCTGTTGGATGGATTGGGGTGAAATACTCAACTGGAAAATGAGTCTGAAAACAGAAACAAATGACCACGTGGCCTTGTTAATATGAATTAAGTTGAGCGAACACACGACACAGCTTTGGGACAACCTCGTGATTATTGTTCTCTAACTATTTCCAGCTGGAGGTGTCCGGCCTCAGCTCTGCCTCCATGTTGGAAGTCGGTCCGGTCGGTCTGAGCTTTGAGCTGCCCAAACTCACCGCCACGGGGCTGCAGATCCGCTTCCTCCGCCTGTCGCCCGTCCAGCCCGGCCCATCGCAGCGCTGGGTCAGATACGTCACCCACTCAGACTCCTACATCATCCGGATATAACCCGAGCGTCTCAGCTGTTTGATGACAGAGCTGCAGGAAACTAATGAACTCACACAACTGTCAGTGTCCTTTCAAAATAAGACAGAGCTGCTTTAATCTTCAAGAACTTCTGTTTTATTCAGTCACGTGTTTTGGTTTTGTTTCTGTTGTAAAAACTGGAACTGAATTAAAATCCAGGAGGAGAGGATGAAAAACAGGATACACCAGTGTTCTGTTGCTGTTGTTATAATCTCTTGATATTCTGTATTTTCTCCTCATGTCAACAAATGTTTAACAACATATTAGTCCATGTCTGAGCGCCGTCTGACTTGCTGTCTGTGTCTCTTAGCTGCGAGCCCTCTGGTTCCTACTGAAGAAAAATATATCAGCAGATTTTAAAGGTTCGGTATGTACGTTGAATAAAACCTCTCTGAGGCTGATAAGTGAACTGCTGTCAGCGTCCTGTTCCTCCTTTAGCTCCTGAGCATCGACCGCAATCAGTGACAAACTCCAGACTGACTGACTGAGCGTCAACATGTTGATAAAAGGCTGGTAAATAAAATACCAATCATATTTAGAATATCTTTACTCTCTGTAATGTTGCTATATTTCATTGGCTCCATCACACTGAATCGATTACTGTTTGATAATTAGTTTATCAGCTGATGTTATGACACAGTCCATGTAGAGGAGCTAGGCTACAGTTAGCTGGCTAACATTAGCTCAGGTTCTAGTTAGCTTGTTTGTCGCTCCTGCACCACTCTTAGCTAGCATAAAGAACTTTGTACATGAACATGATTTATTGTTGTTTAAATCAGCTGTTTGTCACAATACATAAGTTAATATTATGGATCTTGTTAGCTGATGAAGTAATTTGGCGAGCCAGCTTCCTGACATATCCACTCAGGTAATATTTTGCTCACTACAACGTTAGCAAGACACATGCTAAGGTAAACCAAGTAGCTAACTAAGCTACACTGTATTGATCTGGTTCCTTCATAACGTTAGCTTATAAAGTAATTTGCAAATAGCAAGCTGGCTAACTGCACTCAGGTAGCATTTTGCTAGCAGTAACATTTTTTTTTTATTTTTTTTTTTAGCTTTTGCCTTTAATTGACATAAGAGAGTGAACTGGGGGACTGAGAGAGAGTGAGGGGATGACATGCAGCAAATGGTCGTGAGCCGGAATCAAACCCGCGACCGCTGCAGCGAGGCAATGCCTCTGTATATGGGGCACCGGCACTATGCACTACGCTACCAACGCTCCACTAGCAGTAATATCAGCAAACAGCATCCGATGTTGGTTGCTTTGTAGCGTTTGCTGATACAGTAATTAGCAAACAGTAAGCCAGGTAACTAACCTAAACACTGAGATAGTGTTTTGCTAGCAATAACATTAGTGAGGAAGCTACGGTTAGCCAGCCAGCTGTTACTAAGCTACACTGAATTGATCTGGCTTTGGTTGCTTCGTAACAAGAATTAATAAAATAATTCACAAATGGCAAGCTAGCTAACTATACCCAGATAATATTTTGCCAGCAATAATGTTAGCAAGAAAGCAAGCTATGGTAGCCAGAAAGTTGTTGCTAAGCTACACCATGTTGATCTGATACTGGTTGCTTATAGCATTAGCTGATAAAATAATTAGCAAACAGCAAGCTGTCTAACAATACACTCAGATAGTATTTTGCTAGCAGTGACGTTAGCAAGAAAGCAAGCTAAGATGAGACAGCTAGCTGTAACTAAGCTACACTGTATTGACCTAATGTTGGTTACTTCGTAAAGTTAGCTGATAAAGTAATTTAGCAAACTTGCCAACTGACAATCCACTTACATAGTATTTTGCTAACGATAATGTTAACAAGCAGCACGCTAAGTTTAGCCTTTTAGCTGTAGCTAAGCTGCGTTGTATTGAACTGGTTGCTGCGTAATGTTAGCAGATAAAAATAATTCACAAACAGAAAGCTAACTAACTACATTCATAGTATTTTGCGGGCAATAATGTTGTCGAGAAAGCAAGCTAAGGTAGCCAAATAGCTGATACTGGGCTACACTGTGTTGATCTGATGTTGGTTGTTCCGTAGCATTAGATGATTAAATGATTAGCAAACAGCGAGCTAGCTAACGAACATTGTCACTTAGATAGTATTTTGCTCGCAATAACGTTAGCAAGCAGCCAGCTAAGGGTTAGCCAGCTAGCTGTAACTAAGCTACACTGCATTGTGCATCTGATGTTGATTGCTTTGTAATGCTAGATGATAAGTTCATCTACAAACGGCACACCAACAAATGACACTCAGATAGCAATAATGTTCACAAGAAAGCTAGCTAAAGTAGCCAGCTAGCTGTTGCTAAGCTATGCTATACTTATCTCACAGTAACCACCTCAGAGCTTTGTTTAACGTTACTCTTTTCAGTGAAGCGTTCGTCTGTAGACGCGTTTAAATCTAAGCTGAAGACACGTTTTCTCAGGTCTTTGATCGTCCCTCAGGTTTGTGTTTAATCCTCATACTTTATTATCAGATCTCACTATTCTGTGCTCTGTTTTCTTTTTCACTTGTTTATTTGTGCATGTTTTGGCGTTTGATGTTATTTCTCACACGTTTTGCTTTGTCTTTATTATTTATTTTATCGCATACATTTATAAATGTGCCTCATAAATAAATTTGATCTGACACATTGTAAATAAACTCTTCTATTAATTATGGCAGGTAAATAATTTTCTGTTGCATTAAAAAATCTTAATGTTCTAATATTCCTCAGTCAGGGGCCCTGTCAGTCAGGGGCCATTAGATTCGGTCTGACTGAGGCCCCGCCAGAACACAGCTGTGTGCCAACCAACCCCAGTCTCCCCTAATCCATAATATGAATAATGAAAGTCATCATCCTAACATGTTGGTGACAAAGAAAAGATTTAAAAGATTAATTTATAATCAAGAGTTGCTGATTAATATTCTGTCGACAGAAGAATCGATTAGTTGACTGATGTTGCAGCTTCATGTTGTCATGTTTGCTGGAGAGACTCTGCGTTGCGCAACGTGTGATCTGCAACACACACACACACACACACACACACACACACAGATCCTGCCTTTGCGGAAGCCAGAGGAGCCGAGGCGGCGCTAAATTAAATTAGCATACTAACTAGTTAGCAGTGCGCCGATGTGGATGGACGGATGAACCGAGCCGCCTGAACAAACACACCGTCTCTACAGTCGACACATCACCGGGACCGGGCTCATTTAGTCGGGATCATCGTGCCGTCCGCCTGCCGAGGAGATGGGGGACAAGGCGGGCACCAGGTAGGATGGCTAAGCTACAGCGGCTAACAGCTAGTTAGCATCACGCACTTTGCTAACGCTAGCCGAGCTGCTGCTGGCCCGGGCGGGGGGAGCTTTTCTCCGCAGCGCAGGTTTACCCGATTTAAACACGACAAACCCGGACACGGGGAGCACCGGGCGGCTCCCCGGGGCATGTTGGAGCCTGTAATGCGATGACCTCGCTCGGAGGAGGCGAAGTTAGCTCAGCAGGGTGGGGTTAGCTAACCGTCTCCAGCGGACAGGACGGTGCTCCAGCCTCCGCTCACATATCTGTCAGATGAACATATCTGCTTAATGTGATTCTGTTTATGAAAAGATAAATAGTTAACAAATCATTAAAGCTGCCGTTTTAATCCAACACACAAGTTACATATGCAGCCGCTCGTGTTTTAATATGAAGCAGTGTCGTAGGCAGGAATTCCCACGGTGCTTTTCCAACAAAATACGGCCGCGGTGGGCGGAATCCTCTGATGGAAACCTGCAGTTAAAGTTGGGATTTTCTTGCATTACAATGCTGCCTGGTGGATGTTGGCAACGCCGTATTTAACCTAACACTTAAATGTTTCATAAACATGTAAAGTTGTGTTTGAACTTGTCGATCACACGCCGAACATTTAAAATGTAAATATTTTGTTATGGACTTTGGTTCGTTCGTGATCTTAATGGATTAAATGCTGCTTTATGGATGGTGTCAACGCTGATTTCAACTAAACACTTAACTGTTTAACAAACGTGCAGCTGTGTTTTATCTCACTTACTACACACACAACATTTAAAATGTAAATATCATCTCACGGCGTTTGGTGCAATCTTGATTTCATTTGATTAAAATTGGATTAAATTGCTGCTTGATGCATATTGTCAACGCCGAATTTCACTTAACACTAATACGTGACATAAAACATGTAGAGATGTGTTTTATTTTACAGACTACACACCGTCTTTGAAATTTAGATATTGTCGAATGGAGTTTGGTGCGATCGTGATGTTATCGGATCAAGATGTTGCTTGGTTTTTATCTTAACACTTGAACGTTTTATAAAACTCGTGGAGATGTGTTTTATCACACAGATAACACCAAGACAGTTTAACATTTAGATTACTGAATGTTATCAACGCTGATGTCAACTGAACTCTTCAATGTTTCATAAAACATGTAGAGTTGTGTTTTGTTGTGTCGACTACACACAGAACATTTAAAGCTGAAATATTGTTGAACTGAGTTTGGTGTGATTTGGATTGTGGATCAGTGTGCTGCTTGGAGCATGTTGTCAATGCTGATTTTAAAACACTCAAATGTTCCAGAGCACAGGTAGTGTTTTGCTCATCTTGTCAACTACACACCAAGCGTTATTAAAATATTAATATTCTGGATTGGAGTTTGGTGCAATTGTGATTTTGTTGGATCCAAAAGCTGCTCCATCAAAGTTAGTTTCAACTAAACACTTGAATGTGTCATAAAACATGTAGAGTTGAGTTTTAACTTATCGACTACACGCCGAATGTTTAAAATGTGAATATTTCAGATGGACTTTGGTGCGATTGTGATTTTATTGGATTAAAATTGGATCAAAATGCCGCTTGATGCAGGTCGTCAGTGCCAGTTTTAACTAATCACTACATGTAGAGATGTGTTTGGACTCGCTGACAACACATGGAACATTTAAATCTGAATATTTTCTAATGGAGTTTGGTGCAGCTGCGCTCACTGAGGAGCCGTAATAAGCTGCTACTGACTCCAGGTAAACTGGTACCACAGCTGCTCATCAGCTGTAGGTGAATGCAGTTTGTTTTAGACGCAGGAAACTCCTCTGACTGGGTTTGTTTTCAACTGATGGCGACGATTTGTTGAACATGTTCAGGTGTCTTTGAGCTTCAGTCGCCTCCTTTTTACCTTCACCCTCCGTTAATCAGCTGTGGTGTTTGTGTCTTTGTTGTTCCTGCTCAGAGTCACAGATCCTGTTTCAGACGTCTCAGCTCTGAACTAGGTTTTTAAATGTTGTCTGGGTGTTTGAGCGGAGTGTGACTCTCAGACAGCTGAGTGTTTCCACTCTGCTCTCCGCCTGATTGGCTGCTTTAATGAAACAGTGACAGTGAGGTTGAAGTGCTGACTGTCAGCTTTAATCGGAGGCTGTTTACATGCTGCGTGTTTGTCATACGGACGTGTTACAGCGGGGACAAACGCCTCTTTGTTTGCTGCTTTTATCAGAGATATGAGGGAGGCAGTGGTCGACTGTCGGACTGAACTCTGCGGTCGGCGCCGTGTATTTACTGTGATTCAAAACAAACTTTCCTGCCTCTCTGCGTCCCTGCACACTTCACTTCCTGTTAGGAAACAGGTGGGAAACATGGAGGAGAGGAAACGAGCGGGAGGAAAGACAAACAGTGAGGCTGTTGAAGAAACCTCGCTGCATGTATAGATGTTGTTATCGGCCAGGAAGTGTGTGAGCGATCAGCTGGAGATAATGAAAAAAAAAAACCCACCATCAGCATGTGGAGCTGCTGCGATCGCTCAGTGTTGACACGACAACAGTCCGAGGGAACGTTGTACATTTATCTGACGCCTGTCACACTGCAGGAGCCCAAATATGGAGGACGGAAAATGACGAACGTATCAATAAATAAATAGTGTTGTCATGATACTGGAGATACTAACTTTAATACAAGTCCCTAAAAATACTGATATTTGACACTATTTTTTAAAACCACGGGGAAAATTAAACACTGAGAGCTTTAAATATTAATTTTTAATTAAAAGATAAATATTACAAAGCAACAACAACTTTATTTTTTCTTGGCTGGCAGCAGAACGACTGCAGGAAACATGAACAGCTGCTGACGCTGCATCCAAACATTCAGAATCATTACGTATCAGTAAATCTATATTTGTGACGACACTAAAATAAATGTGTCAATAAATACAGGAATAAATGAATAACTACATAGATAAATAGATAAATAAATACACAACACGGAAAATAATCAAGTTCTACAAAATGTAGCAAAAAAATTAAGTCCTGTTTAGTAAAGTTTTATTTATAAATTTATTTTAATAATTTTTATTAGCGCATATATTTATTTATTTATGTTACGTTTATTTGTGTTTATTTATACATTTATTAATTAATTTATTTTCAGATTCAGTCATTTATTTCCATATTTCTATACACTGTTATCTTCATTTTGTTAACACACATTGATACAAATACTCAGTTATTTATCATCAGATTTATTTCTTTATTTTCAGATGTCTACATTTATTTGTTTATTCGTACTTGACTCATTTTTCATCCTCTGCACTTAAAGCTGCAGCAATGAATATTAATGTTAATTTAAGGTTGTTGCTAGTTGTGATGCAGATGATAATAATAATAATGATAATAATCAGTCGGCTCCTCAGAGCGTCTGACTCGTTGCTTCGTTATCAGGTCGCAGCTGTTTTTCTGTCGTTAGATATTTCCTGTGTGATTTCAGATGGTGGACGCTGTGTTTATGAAATCAGAGACTCACAGCTCCGTCCTTTTTTAAACTGTGTATTTAACGTAAATATGATGCAGCTCAGTTCACTGTGACGTGTGAAACTTTGACAAGCAGTATTTTACTCTCTGACTGTGTTCACACGTGTTTTTGTGATGTCACCTGTTTGAGCGGCAGACTGAGTGTCACCACATCATCATGTGTGTTTCACACACGGTAAACGTAACGGAGAATCATCAGTATCAGCTCTGAGCTGTCGTCACGCTCCGTCTCGCTGCTCTGCGTTAATGACGTCATGTTTTTAATATCTGAACCACGGAGAACGATTTTATTTACTGAACACACGATGATCTTCAGAAATGTTCAGATTAACGACCCGACTGTAGATAAAGACGTTTAAAAAACTTTAAACTAAAACAGAAAAATGTTTGAAGAACTTTAACTGTCTGTTCTGAATCATTTTATACTTGTTAATAAAAACAGGAAGGATGAGGTCAGCTGTGGTCGTCATGATCGTGATGATGTTGTATGGATAAGTCAACCAGACTCAGTCTCTTAACATCCCATAATATCCACTCTCAGCCCTGATTGGTCGGTTATTATTTCACATGATGAAGTCGTTTATTTCTCAACAGAAGTGTTTCCACATAAATTTCATCTGTAAGCTCTGCCGCAGAGACGAGAGTGAAGACACCGACAGAGACGTCACATTTAACTTTCACTGAGGCTGAAGGTGCTGTTGAGTGATGATGATGATGATTAGATAAAGAGCAACTTGTTCCAAAAATATAAAATTTAAACACATCATCACTGTTAAATAAAATCCTGCTGATAAAACTCCAGAGAATAAACTGGAATAAAAGAGATGATGATAATAAACAGAGAGGAGGAGTCCAGGTCACCTGTCAGTCACCTGTCAGTCACCTGTCAGTCAGCTGTCATGATGCAGAGTCACGACTGTACATGAACAAAACACTGACTGGTTTAACTGACTGATAATTCTGGTGCAGACTACTGAGGGGGTGGACGATTAATCTTTGAGACGTTTAATCGCGTGCATCCCTAAATTTAATAACGCTGTGAGTTTGAAAAGTGTCCTGATGACGTCTGACACCTGAAGAAACTAAATGATGTCCAGCTTCCTGCGGCGCTCATCGTAAAGCTGCGGCTGAGCAGTTTGAGAGAAATATTTCCTGTATTTGCTCTCAGTGTCGTCGCTGGGACGCCACCTTCTCAGGTGATGGAGAAGATGTGTTGTGTTTCCTGTCCTGGTTGGCACCAACCATACTTTGCAGACCGTCTTTGTGTCGTCACCTTTCAAGTAGCCAAACCACGTCCAGATTATTGACGCCGTGTGACCTTTTGTTAATCCACGGTTTGGTTGAAGCTCTTCTTCAGCTTCACCGCCGCTTTGCTCCTCATTTTCCCCTCCCTTCGCTATGTCCACGCTGCTTTCACTTCCTCCTCACCTTGGTACAAACTTGGAGTTAATGACACACATGGCC